CTGTAGTTCTGACTGCCAAATCTTCCTGTAATATGGAAATGTATTTATACTCTGCCTCAAGAGAAAATTCAAAGCAGAATTAATTGCACTTCCAAGATAATAGTCAGATTGCTCATATATATTAATCTCCTTACTGCTCTATATGACTTTTCAGGGTAAGAGTGTTCTAGAACTGAGCCTGGAAAAGCTCACGTGTGCGATAGGTTCTTGAGCTACATAAAGAGGCTCTACAGATGACTTTTAGGCCTTCCTAATAGAAACACTTTATCATTTTAGGGCATAGTTTTGTATGAATTTCTTGCTCATGTTGGACTACATTCTCTTTGCACTTACCCATCTGATCACTACTGTTTACTGCTTTGCCAGCCTGACATGTGCTCGCAGCTCCACATGCTCTCTGTAGCCTGACTTTTTTGTGTGCCTTTAACTGCACTGTGTGCAGCTAAGTGTGAAATAGTTCCCATCATGTGATTCATAGTGTAAATGTGGGTCTTTCTAATCATTTGTGTGCCTGAATTACTCAGTGTGAGGCCATATCCTGTGTATTTTGTTGTGGCAGCTCTGTATGTGGGGGCAATTCCCGCTGCTTTTAGTTCCACCTGTTTGTATAGAACTGTTGTTTGAACCTCTAAAAGGACAAAAAAGTGTTCTTGTAAACCATTCACAAGTTACCAGCTGATGATCATGAGATCAAACTAACCCAAGATAAAAATAAAATGTAGTTAAATCAGTTGTTCATGTCTTGAAACAAAACTGAAATGCAGTTTTTGACCATTCTTCTGGGAGTAATGGAACATTTTAGTCATGACTAAATAAGGGCAGTTTATCTGAGAAGTGCATGGCTGGAGGCCTTTTTCTTCATTATTATTCCCTGTTGATGATTTGGAAAAAACAATCAGAACTAAGGGGAACAGTTCCAGGTGCATGTCTTTCTACAGTGTGCGTGTATATGTGTATATCCTACATGTCCAATGGATGGGAGGGCATAAAAGGACTTTATCTGTAATTGCAAGTGCTGTATCAGCCACTGAATTCTCTTACTGTTTCCTAGCTGTTAGAAGCAGTTATAGTTCAAGTCTGGACTACAGGACTTGTCGGACTATAGCAGAGATGACAATTTAATCTCTTAATCCTTCTTGCTCTTTAGACTTTCTCAGAAGAAACCTGAGAAGAAATCCATCCCCATAGTGGTGGCTTTCTCCTGTTATGGTGGACTAAATGCTTCTGCTATAGCTGCCTCCAGGTAGGCTCCTCTGTCATCCTCCACATACCCTTGTGAATGCTCCATTCTTTCCCCTGCTGCCAGCTCATTTGTTTTTATAAATGCACTTCACTACTCCCAGAAGTAGTGCTAGTTAAAGTGGAATTGGTCAGGTGCTCAGTCCAGAGCCCAGGTCTAGCTCATTTGTGGAGGATCTATGACTGTACAATTGCGGTTTTAGCAGAAAGCAGCCACTGACTTTTCCCTCCCCTTTTTTTTCCCTCTTGGTGCACCTGGTGTATGTGCTTGATAATTTGATTGCTTTTTGTACTTTTCTCTGCCCTTCCTTCTTATGCAAAATAACCCTCTGAAATACGCACACAGTTGAATGCTTATTGTGGCCACTTTTACTTACACTTCAGTAACACTTTCTGCAAGAAACACTGTAAAGATCTTGGGTTTTGTCATTGTTCACAAGAGGGTATAGCTCAGCTTTGGAGAAGACATTTCTTGGCATCTGCTAAAATGAGGGTGTTGAAGGATTTATAAATGTGTACTCTGAAGTATAAAAGTGTGTTTACTGTCTGAGTAGTAATAGATGAACATGACTGATTTTTACGTTAGAAATGAGGGTTGAACCCTGTCAGAAAACACCTGTGTAAAGGCAGGTGGGCCTATATTTCTCATGTTAAGATAGTTAATATGACAAAAAAGTTTAGCCAAACTTCAGATACCCTTCAACTTTGTTTTGCTGAAAGATCATTTTGCAGGCAGATCTACTTGGCAAACCAAGCTGAACATTTTAGATCATTCTCAATGAAAATGCTCTTTTTGCATTACCTTGCTTAGGGAAAAGTTAAGCTCTTGATGTTAATGCTTCACCCTTTGCTCTCTTACAAATCCCAACTACAACGTTGGAAAGTACATGGGAAATGACAGTGTTTGGTAAAGGCTGTCACTAGATTATTCTCTCTTTTGAAGAGTCTGACTTGTACAGATCTAGAGAAATTAATTTTTTAGACTTTGAGCCAGATCAGCAGTTCTTATACATCGTATAGCTTGCATCCAGAATATATTGAATCTAGAACGTCTTGATCTGTGTATAATTTATGGCAGTGATACTGTAGCTTTGCCTTAACTCATTGTGGTTCATTGTGGTTTTTACTGCTCATATGAGTCATTGCTGTTTTCCAGGATGTGTGGGACAGTATTAGCATACCTTAGAAAGGTTGGATGTAGATTACAGGATGGAAACGGCCTTTGAGTTAGTCCCACATCTGGCATCCCACACTGGTGCATTACCAGATGATTCAAAACAAAATGGGAAATACTTGCAAAGAACAAACACCAACCTGCCTTTTGGGGAAGAGAGTTTTTCCACAGACATATGAGCTAGTTTGCATCTTGCAGTTTAAGATCACATTCATACCTTTTCTCTCTCTTCTTTAACTTTAGCTGTTAATATTACTTATCTAAATGCTTATTCTTTAGGCAACCTTACTAAACGTCTTAATTCTCTAACATATTGATGAGTGAGTTCTGTATCTTAGTTTTGTATATTTAAGTAAAAAATCCTCTAGCAGTGTTCATTTTGGTGTCTAGTAATTTCACTTGCTGTTTGGCTTCAGAAATCAGCCATCCAGGTTTAAATCATCCTTTAAAATATTGTAACAACTGCCTATTCGAATTTTCATCTTGTCCTTATTCTTACTTGTTCTGGAGAAGTTGTCTTGATTTATTCACTGGATCATTATGAATTACATTCTGCTTTGGGAGACCAGGTTTCTCAGAGCTGCATCTAGACCCAGTGAGGGTCCGAGAGAAACACTGTGGGTTCGAGTAATTATTCATTCTTGATCAACAGAAATCTTTTATATGCAGTAATGTGAATTATTATTTACTTGTCCAGTTTCAATTAACTGAAAATGGGTAATCCATGGTATACAGAACACATTTCTTATGGCATGGTCTTTTGCTAAATTGATGTTTGGATTTCAGCATGAAATAGATTTTATACATGCATTAGTTCTTTTATGTTTTTCTCATGTTAATTTTTATCATTTCTGTGGGAATCTGTGTATGTGTATTTTTCCACCCCTGTGTTGAAGCTCCTTTTGAGGGAGGCTGTGCTAATGGGTATAAACTAGAAGAGCTCAGGAAGAGAGGTGCTTTAGTAAGAATCAGGGTTTTTGTTGATTCATTAACTTTGAACCTTTTGGCAAGGTTCCCATTGAAGTGATTATATGTTTTTGCATTGTGCATTAGCAGCAGGAAATCCTATCTGCCTTTGCTGAGGCTCAACTAAATTTCACAAAAGGATGGAATAAATTTTGCTTTTTAGTGTAGAGGATGGTATACAGCTAAGCAGAGTTGGATTCTGAACCTTAACCTGGATAATGGGCTAAACAAAGTACTTTGTCAACCGAGAAGGAACGGCCAAGCTTTGGTTTATGTCTGTAAATTTTTCTGTATTTTATGGTTTAAAGATTTATGCTATTGTGCAGGGTTTTGCCTCATGAAAACTAATCACTCATTTCATTAAAAAAAATCTATATAAAGTCATTTAGGCTTTTTTGACCTACAGTATTATTAAGAAAACAGATCATAATGCAGTGGTGATCTTGTTCCTGGAGTAATTAAATCAGAATTTGACCAATGTTAAATCCAGATAACTTTATATGCTACAAACAAACACTAATACTGAGTGTTAATTCCACTTTGACTGAACTCCTCAGCTCAAATGTTATGGTGAAGTAGTAGTTTAAAGGGGAGGTCAAGGGGAAGGTGTTTCAAAATACTAAAATAAAAACTGAAGAAAATATTTGTAATAGAAAAGGCAGACCTTCAGAAAGCTGAACTAGTATATATGCTTTTTATGCCTGGGGATCTTTAAATTGATAAAGCAAGAAAGAGCTAAGGAAGTGCTTTAGAGAAATACTCATTAAAAAGTTTAGATTACTGCTACCTGCTGCGGTATAAAATGTTCTAATTCCCACAAAATCTTTGGGGTTTGTTTGAATACCACTTACACATAAGTATGTACCTTTTCTGTTTTTATAAATAGTGATTTCATGCTGTCTAATGTAGACATGATCCATTTTGCTACCATGTCTATGTTAACAACAAATAATGTTATTTTGCTTCCGTAGAAGAAATCATGGAACTAATTTAGCTTTCAGTAGGTAGAATTGGGATCCCTGTGTCTTCTGAACACAGCATATGGTTTGCAACATTAACAAATGACTGCTAATAAGATGCTTGGTCTGTCATTTGCCACATTGTGAGAGTAGAGCTCAGAGGCCCTGCTGGTGGATCTAAGGGAATAGAAGATGTTGCTTAGGAAACTAAAAAAGAAGGAGAATAAAACAGATTCCTAGAAGAGTGTCTGTAAACAATAGGTGTGATGGTGGCAATGTTTATCATGTGCAGTATAGTTGATATGTAATAATATTTTTGTCCTTTATTCTCTGTAGTCACTATGTTATGCTTGAGTTCTGTAGTTCAATAAAATATATTAGGATGGGTGAGAAAATTCCTAAAACAGTTTGTTTTCCTTTGTGAACATTATTTTTGTGAGCAGAAAATGTGAGTTCAGGTGCTTGGCTAAAGAAGTTTGTGTTTATTTAAAATCTATAAATAAATAAAAAAGCTGTGTGCTTCTTTGTGCTGCATTATGGATTGTCCTTACTATATTACTATTTTTCCATACAAACTTATTACAAAAGCTTTGATGTCCTTGTTTTGTGTATGCTTTGTTGCAGATATTTTCATCTTTTCTTTTTCTCTTCCCTTTCATCAGACATTTGCTGACCAGGTATTTGGTATCTTCAGCTGGACGATTCCCATTGCTGTAGCCTTTTCTTGTTTTGGTGGACTTAATGCATCAATTCTAGCATCATCGAGGTAGTGTATATTTATTTCTGTTATACAAGTGTTTATACGTATTTTTACATGTTATTGTTATGCTCATGTATTATGAGAATACTTCTGTAACTGAACCTATAATGAATAGCCACAATAAAATAGCAGAACTAAATAAACTCCTCTGTGTGTGGGCGCGCGTGTGTGTGCATGCGTACGTGTGTGTGTGTGTACATACAGCCTTAACACTGCCTTACTTGCCCAAAGCACTCCTAGCTGTATGTGGAGTATAATTAAAAAACAAACGAATGTTGTCTCTGGGGTGAGTCCTCAGGACTTTTGGTTATTTGGATTGAGTTATCTTCTGTTTTACTTGATACAGTAATTGCAGCAAGTTCCTGTTTTCAGATGTATTTACTTAAAACTTACTTTTTAAAGTCAGTATCTCTAAGGTTTTTTCCAAGTATAAAGTTTTAAAAGTTGCTACTGCTATTAAGCTGCAGTCAGAAAGCTTAGGATACAGTATAGAAGCTTTCCTCAAAGCACTGATTATGGATGTGACTAGTGAAAGTTTTAAATAGATCTATACAGGCATTTTAAGATACTTCCTGCCCATTGAATGTATGCGCAGTGCCTCTGTACTGAGAACGAATATGATCAGGTAAAGTAGTCAAAATAGAAAAATTTGGAGTTGATAATCAAATTACGTTATTTTGGTTTTTGAGTATGTGGTTGACTGACCTCTTTCTAGAGATCTGGCAATCTGGTCAGCACTGAAAACTATTCTGCTATAAGCTGGAATGTTTTCAGCACTAGCTTTCAGAATTTTCTAGAACAACAGAAATTTATTTCAGTTAATATAGATGTTTTCTATTTTACCTGTAGGATTGTTTTTCAAAAATGGGTGTTAACAGAATGTTTCTAAAAATGCATGTATCTTTTAATGGTTGTTGTACAGTACATCTTTACAAGAAGGGTTGAATTCATGTTCCAGTTTAAAGGATGGAAATTCAGTGCTGTAAATACTTATTTTGACTGGTATTGTTCTGTAATACATTCTCACCTGTGGCCTCAGCATCTATTTTCTGACTAATTTTTTTTTTCAGGCTATTTTTTGTAGGATCTCGAGAAGGTCACCTTCCTGATCTGTTATCTATGATCCACATAGGGAGGTTCACACCTGTTCCAGCACTGCTCTTCAATGTAAGTTATTACTGCTTTTCAGCTGTTCAGATGTGACTGTATGAATTATTTAAAGGAAAGCTTTAAAAAAATCACAAGAGAGAACTTCAGATTTACTGTCATCGAGGTGATTTTGAAGAGTGATTTTGGAGGCATAAAATCATGCCAAACACCAAGGAGTGTAAGGTGTTACTTTCAGGCAAGAAGCTGGATAAACAAGAAGTTTCAAACTTCTTTTGTTCATCTCACTCTTGTTCTTTTCTGACAGTGTGTTATGACCCTTATTTACCTGGCTGTGGAAGATGTCTTCAAGCTTATTAATTACTTCAGTTTCAGTTACTGGTTTTTTGTTGGTCTGTCTATTGCTGGGCAATTATATCTACGTTGGAAGGAACCAGATAGACCCAGGCCTCTTAAGGTAATATTCACTTATTACAGAATAGTTTAAAATCCTTGTCTTCCACGTAATATGAAAGTACTATCTAAAATTTGGACCATGCATGTTGTGTCTAAAGGTTACAAACTGATCAGGACATAGAACATGGCTTACAGTTTTATATTGTACCATGAAAGTTAGCTTGTCTGCTAGATAAGTGATTGTTGCAATAGTACATTTGTTCAATTATTATCCCTTCTCTCTGTCAACTGGAGAATGTCTAACATAGTAGTTAGTCTTTTTTCTTTTCTCTTGGATTAGAAACCTCTAATTTGGAATGCTTAAGTTAATTAATTCTGTCAGTGTAGATCACATTTAACTCTGATGGTGTTTCAGTTCAATATCTGATCCTCTTATCACATTCTCATACTTGAAGTTGATACTCTACAGGAAAAAGTTGTTCCTGTTTCCTGAGTCTTATTGGACTTGTCTAAGAACCCTTCATGCTGCTATACAGTTTCTTTCAACACAGCAGCTACTATACTTTATTACTTATGCAGTTTTTAGCAGCAGTTCTGTTCAGGAATAATTCTGCAATTTGCTTATGGTTCCAAATAACCAGATGTATAAGAGGAAGAGCAGATAATTTCACAAAGTGGGATTGAGAGGGACGGGTCTTTAACTCTTATCAAAATGTTTGTAACTGTAGACAATGAATATTTCGATAACATTCTGTTCTGGTTTTCTGTCTCCAGCTGAGTGTGGCTTTCCCAATAATATTTTGTATATGCACAGTATTCCTGGTGGTCGTGCCACTCTATAGTGACACTATAAATTCATTGATTGGAATTGCCATTGCTTTATCTGGAATTCCAGTCTTTTTCTTGGGAGTCTATTTACCTGCATCAAGGAGACCACAGTTTATCAACAAGATTTTAGGTAAGTTTCTTTCTAGATGGAGACATTATAAGGAAAGAGGAAAATTAAATAAGTGAATCTTGGTTTGTTGGTGAAAAGGATTGTAATCAGCTGACGCCAGCCACCAGCTAAGTACCCACAGAGCTGCTTCCTCACCAGCAAAACCCCTAAGCAGGATGAGTGAGAGAGAGAGGAAGAACAAAGGTGAGAAGACTTTTTGGTTAAGATAAAGAGAGTTTAGTAAATGAAGGAAAGCCTGCAGCTGCAGTTTTGCCACCTCCCACAAGCAGACCAGTGTGCAACAGTCTCCAAGCAACGACCACCTTGGAAGACACCCTCCCATGTGCATGCACTTCTTCCTCTACCTGTTTTTATTGCTGAGAATGACATTATATGGCATGAAATGTCCCTTTGCCTAGTTTGGGTCAGATGTTCTGTCCACCTCCCCTCTGAACTTCCTGCCCATCCCCATCCTGCTGGTTGCAGAGGGCAGAGTGGGAGGGGGAAAGAAAAAAAAAAAAAGGCTGTGCAAACACTGTTCAGCAATAGCAAGAACACTGGTGTGTTACCAACCCTGTTTGAGCCGTAAATCCAAAACACAGCACCATATGGGCTGCTATGAAGAACGTTAACTGCATCCCAGCCAGACCCAGTAAGGGGTATACTGGTAATATATGTATATATATATATCTGTGTGTGTGTATGTATGTATGTATATATGTGTGTGTGTGTGTATGTGTGTGTTTTTACACCCAGGTTTTATTTACTGTATATTTAAAAGACCATCCAGTTTCTACAGATTTTTGGCCTCAGTTTTCATACATTTCTCTTTAATCAAGCACATTAAAAGTTTCTTAAGCAAGGTTGTGACACTAAGAGCTGGACACTCTTGGTAATGCAAGCTAACTGTCTTGCTTTACTGAATCAGCTGTTTGAAGATGGATAGATTTTATCTCAGTCACAGATGGAGTTTTGCTTTCCATTGAATTGCTGCAGTTAAATGATACATTTTTCTCCAGCAGTGCACTGTTGTCATTGTTACTGTGTTAGAAAACCATGATGAAGGATGTGGGAAGGACTGTTTATAACATAAGCTAAGAATCTAACAGGATGTGGTGCTGCAGCAGCTAGAGAATATGTAAATACTTGGTACTTGTCACTTCCCTGTGTGCTATTTGGTTTGGGTTTTTTTTAATTCTACTGATTTTACACTCTTAATTATAGAGAAAAAGGATGTTACTTCAGTTACTTGGCAAGGTGCCTAAGAAGAAAAATACCTCAGGATATCAACAGAACAGTTTAAAACTTTATCTGTTCCAAAAAATTGAGTGGAAGACACCTTTTGTATTAACTTTTATTGTTCATTTCCCTTAAGAGAAGTGAGGCAGCATTCTTGACAACTAACTTCCGTTAGTCACTTGCATGTTGTGTGCAGTTGAGATAGGTGGCTATTCTTTTGATTTATCTCCCAATTTCCTCTGCAGGTGCAGTTACACGAAACATGCAGCTGCTCTGTTACTGTGTTTTAACAGAGATGGACACAAATGAAGGAAAGCAGTTAGAAATCAAATCCAAGTAAAATTTCAAAGCCCTAACAAGAAACAGGAGGGAGGATAAAGCAATGATGACAACAAAAGGGAAGAGATGGAACTGAAAAAACCACAAAAACTGTTTCCAGTGGTCTTTAAGAAGCACTGAAAATGTACTTGCTTGCAGTTGGATTCCCACAGATTGTGCCCTTGCACCACCCTCCTAAACTGTGGCATATTTTCAGGGCATGTTTTCAACGGATAATGATTACCTGCTCATTTCAGGCACACAAGCTGTGTGTCAATACTGTTCCTTCTTCAGAATTGGTATTAAAATGGTAAGAGCTAATGGATCAAATTAGATTTCTTCAGAACCAAACAGTGAAGTAATGCATTTTTAAGTTAGACTGAAAACAACTCTGTCTCAAAAGACCAAAAGTCATTTCCAGCTTAATTCTGATGGATGTTTGCATGAAATGATTTGCTGTGCTATCTCAGTTCTTATCCCAGAAGACAACTGGTTACAACAAACTACCTGATTTGTCATTATTATCAGAAAAATGAATAAAGTTGTGCTACATTATTTAAAGACTGAACCAACCTTTCTCCCTTAAAGATAAGTATTCCGTATGCTATGTGGAAGTGTGGTATCTGACTGTGGCAAAGATTTAATCAACAAAGCACCTCAGCACTGAAGATTCGATTAACATTTGATGATTCTTTACTGTTAGCTTTTTAGTACTTGGTCAAATTCTGATAGGCTTTATGAAACTTCCAAAATTAAAATGTTCTGTTTGAAACTTGTAAGCAGTTGTTTCTGAACTGTTTCAGTCAACACACATTAGCAGTATTACCTCAGTAGTCAGAAAATGCCCTTTCTAAATTACAGTGCTGTTCACTAGAAAATGACCATCCGAAATATCACAGAACAAACCACTTACCTTTTTTAATTCTATAGCAGTAGTTCACTTCTGTGGCAGCAACTATACCTTGAAAGCTAAGGAGCAGGGAGAAAAAACAGGACTAAGAAATTAAAAGTAATATTGCAATAACAACTGATGGTAATTAATAGTATTTATAATTCCAAAGCTGTAAGCCTAATCATCAGGACACTTTGATACTGAATTTTGGTGCAGCAAAAGGTAACATGACACCAGCCCGTTTAGCTAGCAGAGTGAGATAAACTTCAAAAACATACCTGAAATTTTTCTTAGTTCAGAGTGTTTACCTCAGGTGACCTGAGTTTGTCCACATGTGCAGTTTTTTTGTGCATGTAAATTTAACTAAATCTTGTAATTGCAGTATTGTGGGTGAAGCAATGCACACTTCAGACAGTGCACCACATTTGCATCAGCTACTTGGATAATAGTGAAAATATTTAGATACTTGCATTAACTCCCTGACCAAGGCTATCTTAAACAAAAAGCTACAGATACTTTTAAGTGGTAGTAGATGGTGAAGACTAATATAAAATGGAGTCTTGGGCTACCTTTATGCAGCAACACTGGGGTTAAAATAATTAAATTCTAGCTGAGGAACTTTGTGCACAGCTGGCACAAACATGTAGGGTCTTAAATGCTAATTTTCATTAAACTATTACAATATAGCTTTTTGATCTTGCATAGGATCTAGTAGGCTCTCTGTATCTCTGAGATGTTGTTCAGTCTAGCTTTAACAGGCTAGGGTTGTGCCACTGGTTAACAGCCCTATTAACCTTTCTGTGAAACCAAGGAAAAAAATATTTTGCCTCCACTACCTTGACATCACCAGCCAGAGTTGACCTACAGTCAGTGCTGCAACCTGCTGCTTCTGAATGACATTGATCTAACATCACATTAGCTATTTTTTACAGACTCAAGGAGGAAAGTGCTGCAATACTCTGTGTGTCCAAACAGGTAAGATTAAATTGTTCAGAGATGGATGAATGCAAGATAAAATACTGACGTGGCTTCAGCTGTACCAACTCCTATGATCTTTAAATGAGTAAAGAAAACCTAGTCAAAAATTCTTTATTTACAGTTTAAATACATCTATATTGTTCTGCTCCAGTAGTAGAATTACTGGAGAGAGATCCAGCAATGAAACAGACAGGTCAAGGCATTTCTTATGCTCAAACACATGTAAAGAAAGTAACTTGAAACAGTAACAAGTACAGTAGAAAGCAGCAGAACAGAGTACCTTTTCCTACAACTTGCACTTGCCCTCACAGCAGACATGTTGATCTTTTTATGCAACCTGACAGTTTAGTCATGACCAGAAGGACAGCTGCCAGCAGTACCTCCATATGTAATGTGGAGGTAATTTTGGTACAGGTATAAATGCCTGGGCATGCAGCTTGGCAGGTTCCTTCAGAATGTCAGCATCACAAAATTTTAAAGTATGCAGTAACTTTTGCTTGGAATGAAAATTTGTCAAGTGGCCATATTCACATCCATCTGTTTAACATCTACCAGCTGAAATTGTCTGCTCAGATAAGTAAAAGGTTTTAGCATTTACTGGAATCCCAATCTAGTCTCTAATAATTAAGCCTAGTCAGTAAGCATTAGGATGAACCATGCTAGTCACCAACAGTTCCAGAAGGCAGTTCAGGGAAAAATTTAACTTAAAGTTCATCCACATGAAGACCAGGACAGTAGGAAATGAATGAGCACAACTTTTACCAGGAAGTTGTTTTCCGGGGGGCTTTTTTTGGGGTGGGGTGTGTTTTTTAGTCAATGTTCTTACGAACAGCCCTCAGCAGCTGTGTGGATTTTCATTCAGTTCTACTCCAACAGTAGCATTTCATCTTCAGAAAAGGACTGTTAATCAGAATCCGAATCCTGGATCTCATCATATCCAAATTCCTGTAGAACCTCCTGTCGGTATTTGTTCCATGTTCTTCTCCTGTAACATTGGTCCTCATCACTGAAGCTCTCTTCGGACTCTAAAGAAAGACCATCAATGCTTTTAGGTTATTCCTTCTTTTTAGTTAAACAACTAAGTTAACCAGGCTATTTTAAGCTTCTTGAATAACTAACAAAGTCTGAACAACTGCTATGTTACATGAGATGTGTATGGTGCTTGGAGTGGGAGGGGGAGTTAAAGCAGGGGTAGTGTTTCACAGGCACATGGAATCAAGTCATCTGTTCCTTCTCAGAACAAGTAGTTCTTTGCAACTGCAGCAACCTGAAATGGAGTTCTTAATTTTGGCTTTACACAAACACTAAGATCCCTTGTACTTCCAAGATGATGATTCTTCTGTAAGCAGATTTAACCCATTGTAAGAGCAGAACACTACCCCATCAGTGCTCAGGTTGTTTTTAAGACTGCATGTAAAAAGGGTGGGATTTTTATTTGCACAGCATGAAAGCAAACAGCATTTACGACAGGCACACCTTTTTCTCCATCACCATCTTCCTCAGGTAAGAATTCATCTTCATCAGGATAATCATTACGCCAGTTATTTTCATCATTTTCATCATCTTCATCTTCATATATTTCCCCTTGCATGTGATCATCATCTACCTGCATGTCAATACACAATGTTCACTATAAATACTGACACTCAGCATCAAGTGGTTTTTCATCCACTTATACAATACTGTACAGATCATAAAGAGCCAAGAGATACTTATCTACTGCATGCATGAGTAATTGTGCAGTTGCACAAAGCACAGAAAAATCTGTACTGTCACTATATTCACCATAATATAGGTAACTGACTTTTCACCTAAAGCAGGTAAGTCATGCATTTAGATGGGCTGCTTTAACATTTAAGTGCTAAGATTAATGTCTAAATTCTACTCAATTCAGTAGTAGAGTAGTAGATCAAGGAAAAGTAGTTGCAGGTTCCTGATATGCATGCGAGTGATCACAGTATCTATACTAAGACTAAAGCTTACATTTAACTTCCTAACTCCACAGTCACTGAAGGACAATTGTATTACAAGAAAATGTTTTGTATTAAGATTCAAGTCAAGTCTTCAAATACTGAAAAAGCTCTTGTGTTCCCCATTGCTCTTTTCACTCAACTGTATTTACAATTACATTTTAATCACTGCCTCCTAATCACAAATAAAATGTGAATTACTTAAGTTTACATTTTTGTGCCAAAATGTATTTGGCAGTTTAAAGCCAGAAAAATTCTTGAGTCCATGAGCACTATCCCTTCATTTTTCATTGTCATATCATAATTTGCTTGAATCAACAATAACCTGCAGGAACACGGGATGGGCAGTTACAAAAAGCCTAACACAGAGGCCACTGACCATATGTGTGGTATCTCAAAGGATCTTTCTTGGCACAGCACCTTTTAATGATGGGACTTTATGCATGTTTATTTGTGACCTTTCTATTTAAGAAAGATTGGTTTTCTCACACCCTTACCAGTTCATATTCTTCTCTATAGGGCTGTACAGAAAGGATATTTTGGATCCAACCAGGAGCTGATGTTTCCATATAGTAGATGTCATAAACATACTCATCTTCTTTCTCATGGTGTTCTTTTTTACCATCTTCAGAAACATGTAAACGCTCACGGATCATCTCTACTGCATTGCAAAGAATCACATCTGGATCAGCTTTCTGCTGAGAAAAAATTTAAAAAAAAATATGTATTTCCACTGAAGATATATACACATTAGTTACAGCCAGCAGTTTTCTTTGTAGACAGTAGCCAACAGCTAGATAAGGATGACATTCTGAAATCTTAGACCAAAACACTTTCCTGTTGGATTGCTTATATTTAGAACAGAAAGACACTGAAGAATTTTCCAATTACTGTAGTAAGGTGCAGTCACACCTTGTTTCAGATGACAAGTTTTAAGACAGCCTCTGTTTTGCAGAGCATTACACTTGCAACACTGGAGGAAGGATGTGCATACTGTAGTGCAGATCATATGCAAGCAGATTTCAGTATACCAAGTGTGCAGGAGAAACAAGGAAAATGTGATGGATTAATGGGAAAAGGCTGACAGGCCCTACAGGCAGGCTTTTTATTTATTTTTTCACTTCAGCTTGAACACAGAAGAAACTTCTTCATGCTTTCACCTTCCTAATAAATTATTTGCAATGTATTTGCTTTAGTAACCTGCACTTGGATGGTCTACACAGGCAGGGGTTTGCTGCCAATTTTTCTCTGCTAGAGCTTCCGAGAATATCTTGTCCAATCCACAATGGTGTCTCCTGCACCACTTAAGTAATTCTGAGGAACAGCTACAGACCAGCCTTTCATTCACTTCCAAATACTTACAGAATGAAGAAGCTTACTTGTTGCCTTCAGCACTTACTGCTAGGTCTAAAAGAGTAAGATTCTGCTGCTACCTCAGTTTCACTTGTTTTTCTAAACAGTGGAGTGATATGTAATGGTTAACATATCTCAAATGTCTGTTTGAACTACTTAACAGAAAGTGAGTTCCTACTAAACTTTGATGGCAAAGCCCTGAAATAACCTAAAGATGCTGAAGGATGACAGCTGATTGGGCTCTTCCTCACCTGGCTATCTTTTAACATTAGGCCTTTAAGTTTTCCTCAGAGCTGTGATGTGCTGCACAAGTAAAGCATCCATGTGTACTTAAATACAACTAAGGAACTACTAAAGAAAGAGACACAGCCCTCTTACCTTCTTTTCCATATGGTTATGAGTCTCTAACGCAAAATCTTCTTAACACTGCATACAGGGTAACCCTAAACAGAAGCAGAGCTTCTTCATACTTAAAACCACGCTAGATGTAAGCACATATTCCTCCACCTGAAAACACACTGATAACACCAACGAAAACGGGACATAAAGGCTTAAGCAGCCTGTCAAACACCTAGAGTTATGCTAAAACCAAAACATACAATAAAACCTTATATTGAAATTATGAGAAGGGGAAGCTCAAAACTATCTTCTCCTTTAATGAATCTTGCCTTCAAGTGACATTTCTAGGCATCTGGGCAGATAAGAAGACATTAAGATTTTTTCCATTCTAGGTAGAGAAGAAATTAATAACAAACCTCAAAGATCCACCTTACAGATGAACATGACAATTTATATATCAGAACAAGGTACAGAAAAAACAAGGTGGTACAAGTCCTTCCTGCAGCAGCCAACTCCACACAGCTGTCTGTCTCAATTAGTGCATTTAAGGAGCCTCATGAAAGTTACTCCCTGTAAGATATTCCAACTTGCAAATATCCAGTTAAAGCTCCTATTAAAACAGTGGCATACTTACAATGCAAAAAAACTTACATAGCAGTCAGTTTTCCCACATGTACCAGTCAACAGCGATATCAAAGTACTGCAAGTACACTAAGATTGTTTGCTGACCTGTGGGTTTGCAGCAGTTATGCTGGGGTCTCCCACCACCTCCTCTTCTTGTACAATATCAAACAACTGGAATTGCCCACAGCAGTCTGAGCTCTTATCAACAGCACCGCTCTCCTTCTGTGAAGCATCTTCCGTTGCTTCAGAGTCTGATCTGTCACCATCAAGTGATGCCTCCCCATTTACGAGAGGTGCAGCTGTTTCAGTATAGTTAGGTCGATGGCTGGCTATTACACGGTAACGGTTTTCCTTCCTTTTCACTTGCTTGGAAGAGCGGAGTTCCTGAATGATTCGCTGAGTGCTCCCCAAAGAGGGTCGCAGACTTTGAGCTGCTTTGTCTCGAGTGATCACTTCTTGAACGTATTTCTGAACTGGTTCATTCTGGGTAGAGGAACAAGAAGGAGGAATATAATGACACCGTCAACATAGTAAGTAATATGCCCTCCTAGAAGTGGTTAACAGCTACTGTTACTGGTGCTTCCTATTTGAGGACTGCAGTACCAATGTTCCTATCAACATTCAAGAAACTGCTGCTATCTAACACAACTATCATCATATTCTCTTGATATAGGGGAAAAAAGCATCACATAACTGTAAATTTAAGACCGCTTCAATTTTATTTTTAAACAATATATTTTGTGGTACAGAATAACCCTCCAAACAAAAACACGTGCTTTTGGAAGGCTAGTTGTCCAAAATTTAAGGACTATTATCCTTTAGAGCCTCCTGTAAAGACCAGTTTTATTCAAAAAAAAAGGCTGTACAGTGGATGGAGGTTGTTAGCCTTGTAGTGCTTCAGCGCCTCAAGCAGCAGAAATTCAGGCTTCACTTACTGACTATCCCGTAGTCTGTAAGTAAAGAACAGTCTATAAGTATAGAAAAGTCGGTGGGAACACAACTTTTGACGGTGGTCACTCTGTGCTCCGTTCCTTAACCAACCGCCTGCCCTGCTCGCGGAGCTGCCGCCGCGCAGCCGGCGCTCAGGCCGCGGGGAAGCGACACCCGCCGTACCCTGCCTGGCCGGCACCTCGCACCCCGCCGCTGCTCTCCGCGCCGTGAGCACAACTTCGCACCTCCAAGAGATCCGAAAGACCCGCGTGGGGCAGCACCGTGAGCCCCGCGAGCGCTGGCTGCTTTCAAACGCCCCTTCAGGAGCACAACGACGCCGCCCTGCGGCGGTGAGCCGCCCCCGCCCGCCTGAGGCAGGGCCTACACCGGCCCCGGCGCGGGGCGGCGAGGCCGCGGTACCTTGGAGGACACGGTCGCCACCAGCTTGAAGAGACTCCTCTCCACCGGCTGGGCGGCGCCGCCGCACTCCGTGCGCAGCCGCTTGCAAGCGAGGAGCAG